TGTACAATTTCAATAATTTACATTGCATTAATAATCAAGTAAGACGATTTCATTTCATTAAGTCAAGCGATTTCTTTAAATTTATTTAAATGAATGAACAAAATAAATTGTATCCATATAAATATTCTAAATAAATCATTATTAATTCTATTGCACTTATTTTAGAAAATGCTCTAAATTTTTTATTTGTTATTTTTAAAATTGCATTTCAGATTCCATTCTTTTTTCTTCCAATTCCTTTGAAACTTCGTATCTTGTTCATTCTCCAATAATTTAATTTTCCAAATGAATTTTCTTTTTGTCATATTTAGCAATTTTAGAATCCTATTCGCTTTTACCAATTTCAGATTCTGCTGCTTTTCTATTTCCAAACACAACAGATTCTGCATAGAGAGTTTGGTATGCAGCAAATGTTAACTTCAAATTATCATATACTCTCATTAATAAGAGCCCTCTTTCTGGACACTTGACAGCACTCTGTCTTATGATCTCTTCAAATAATTAACTATGTAAATCTTCTCTTATAGGACATATACCACTCTTACTATTATTTTTGTAATTAAATTGTACCGAGCCTATCTCTCAATTAATCTCTCCTTTAAATCTTCTTCTAATTAATTTAGTTCGTCTCTCTTCACATCATTGACACTAACGATCTATTTAAAGAAATGTCTTTCATGTTCAAATCTTCTGGGAGGAAAAAATTTATTCAAAATTTCATCAATGGACCATTTTTGATCAAGAGGTTACAGTTATTATTTTTTTTTTTAATTTAACACTTGCTCTTGCATCTCTAGTTACATTTCCTCCTCATTAATTTCAATTGGCTCTTCATATCTGACTAGAGTAGGCATAAATTTAGGGTTTTTTTTTAATATTTCTTCTGTTTGTGACATTGATAAATATATGACAAAAATAATATATATTGTTAAAAAAAACATAACAAAAAATGTAAATTATAGTAGTTAAAATCACAACAATTTCAACTCATTTAATATTTAGCTCACTATTAGTATGATTTGGATTATTCTGCATTATTCACACTTGAAATAAGGCATACAAGGAATGCATAGTCATCGTCACAATAGATCCTGTTAGAAACAATCAAGTCAATTATTTTAATTTTAAAGAGAGGATCAGATAATTAAGGTATTTTTTTAGCAATGCTTTCCCAATCTCAATATCATATTGTATTTCTTTTTTTTGTGGCTGTGGCTGCACTTATTAAATTGAAGTTGATTACTTATTTGACAAGTCTTATTGATAAGACTCTTATCGACTCTTCAAAAGAAGAGAGGTGGATTGATTGTGGTCTTGTTGTTCATTTCCTGGATTCTCTATTTATGGATTAATAATGAAAATATATTTAAGTATACATTTTTCAAAATTCTTTTGATGTTCGGTATAGGTGGTTTAAGTTGTTTTTAAATTTCTCAACGGATGGTCGTTTTTATTGAATTTTTTATACCATATGAAATGTATTGATGACTTCTTTGTATTGATCAAGGAATTTGAAAACAGGAGAGTTGGTTTATGAGAGAGTGCTTTTAGCAGTCTCAACATGATGTAGATGTTAAAGCATCTATTACAAAATAATTTGCCTACCTCCTAGATTGCGTTAATATGGAGAGAACACCTTGCTCATTAACGATTTTAATTAATTAGAAAAATGATTAAAATTATGCCAGCCTATAAACGCACCTTGTAAGTGTAAATCAAATAAGATTAGAAATAAGGAATGGGTCTAATAGATCATCAATGGACAGACACGTTCCCAGTGTGGAAATTTAGAGGTGGTTTAACAACAATATATGTTAAGAGTTATATTATATGTGCATTTTTACAGATCAAGTCTATACAGAGAGTACTGAGATCTTACCAAACAAGAATGAAGGTGAGCAAATCAAGTAAACCTATTGGATTATATATAAACAATTTTTAGAAAATCAATATGAAATCCTGCTGTCAGCAATATAGCCATTCTTTATGGTTGTAAAAGATATCAAATCATAAAATTAATCTGAATATCCTCTTGTAGTTAACTCCATCATTCGTTTAGGAAGAGTGTACTAATTATACACTATTAATTTAAAGTGAGTATTATTTATATGAATAAGATTTCTTATATTTTATTTGACTTTTCTTTTTATTATTATCTTCTTTTTTATTACACTTTTTTAATGATACTTAAAAGTACTAAGTATTAAATTTGTAATTTTATAAAATTGTCAAACTACTGATCAACTTTATCTAATCTGATCATATTTAAAAAGTTATTCTTTAATTAATGTAGGTGCTCCTTCAACCTAACACAAACTTACTTAACTACCTTAAATTAATAAATAATTACAAGAGGATCAATACAAAGAAAATAAATTAGAATTAAATCAACAAACAGATCAAATATTTAAAACAAACTATCAGACTAAGATTGGTTAGCTTTTGTGTTAGATTGAAAAAGCAAATATTTCTCTTTAATTGATTTATGAATTCTTTTTTCTTCTGAAAACTATTCAAGATCCATACAATCCTGAACTTAATCTAAGCAAGATAACATTTTCTACTTAGGCTGAATCTTATAACTAATGTACTCTTGAAGTTATGGTAGCCAAAGCTTTAAACATTTTACTCCATGAGGTTCTATATGTAAATTTTCCTATATCTTTTCTAATTATAAATACTTGCTCTTTTTATTGATGCTCCCAAATGCTTCTATGGTAATTCAATTCCATTATTGTTTAATTGAATAAAAGAATTATCTTATGTTTAGAGATTCTCTGAAAAAAGAGTTCTTGTTTACATTAATATTGAAATAACATCTTCATGTTCATGAATTTTATGTTAATGTTCTTCATTTTCTTCGTCTCTTTATTAATCTAATTCATTTGATTCTCCTTTGAATTCTTTATGCCCACTTTACTTTTAAGTAAACAATTTTTATAAGATTTCTCTTTTTGGATAAATTTCCCCTTCCAATCTTGCTTCCAATTTAATGCGTTCATTATCACTTACTTTGATATTTTAATTCAAATTTTATAGATCCTTTATGAAAATTGATAATTATTACCACAGTACAAGTGTCCTAATATTCTTTATGTGAAACATCCTCTTCCTTTTAATCTTAATAGTATCTATCTTCAATTAATTGTAAAGTTCTCATCATTTCAGTTCCATAAATCTAATAATAATAGATATATATTACCATGATGTCTTAAAAGAGATTATTTCTCATAATTTAACAGTCAATTAAAGAAAAGCTATGTTCTTTTTGTACTTCCAATAAAAATCCATGAATAGAATAACTATAGACTTAATGATTATATGTTGAATAGAAAACGATACAAAAGATTGGTCTATTACTCATAAGAATAGTATTCTTATTACGATGAAGAAATGATCTCATAAATTAACCATTGTATAAATTATATAGATAGATGTAACCATTAGCAAATAGTTTCATACTAATAGATACATGGATACAATTAATCTAATTTTAAATTGATTAAAATTACTTAATTTTAATGATCAAAATACATACATTTGGCATTTAATTTATCAACCTTCCATAAAATAACATGTCCACTTTTATCTCCAGAGATAATCATAGATTCTTTTTTATCTGATGCTAATGTAGTGATAGTATTAGTATGTATTTAATAAATATCAATTATTTGATTATTATCACCTATAATAATTAATTTTCCAAGATGATAACTTCCACAAATAAATAATTTACCCTGATTGAATACTAATAATGGGTAAGATGATAATTAGGCTGATATATCCCAAATATTAAAAATTCAGTTTAAGGTTTTTCAAAATTAAATTATTTTTCCAATCCACATTGAAATGGTGATTTATTGGGTTAAACATCAATTTAACTTGTCCATTTAAGATAATAAATTTTACCTTCTTTTCTTATACATAATAATCTAACATCTGATGTCCATTTAATTTTCACAATTACTCTATTACTAGCTTATTAAAAATCAATAATTGATTTCATTGTATTAGGTACTTTCTTTTTATTTTATGGTCGATAACTTTTAATTCTTAAGAATTAGAAACAAAATGATGATCTTAATTAATTTATCTTCCAATATGTGATTTAAAAAATAGTTATAAAGGAGTAATTCCAAAATTAACAACTTAAGCTTCAATACTAACTTTATTTTCTTTCATTTTTTATAATGTTAGTTATTAATCATATGTAACATAAAAGTAAATATTAAAAATTTTTCTGCTTGTTTACTTCTTTATTTATATCCAAATATTAAATCAATCCATTCTGTAAGATTCTTTTATATTTCTTCACTTTCAAGTGCATTTCTTTAACCTGTAACAAATCTCTATAGATTATTATTAGCCCATTTAGGTAATGATACATTATTAACAAGAATTCCATTTTATGTTTTACCAAATTATAAATTCTATAAATTAAGAAACATTTCAGATAAACAAAACATTTCTGGTATTAATTCTCTTACATCATTCTGTTGCACAACGAAAACTTTCTACAAGAGAATAAAATAAACGATCAGGAATATCAAATTTATTTCCTTAAATCTCTTTTGCTATTGTTGTAAATGGTTTTAATCTAATAAGAAATTAAGAAGTAATAACTAGTGATGAATAATGTGATCCATAATGAAATGCAGGAATCTCACCACCTTATTCAGATTATTCAAATTTTTTAATATAATTCTTTATTCTTGAATTGTTACCCAATGCTTCCATTGTTTTTTACATTGCTCTAAATTAACCTTCAGGATATATAAGAACATTAGCTTCATGTTCTATTTATTAATCTTTTGGTTCACATATTACACATGGAAATACAGGATATTAAATCATTTTAATCAGATACATTAATAAACAATGATTTCCTATACATTAAATAATATTATTACCCATCTATAAAAAATATATCTAAAGCTGTCTTCTTTTATAAGTATTTCTTCTTTATCACCAAAACAAAATTATAAATTGGAAATTTCTTAATTAATCTTTAATCTTCTTTTAATTAAAACACTCCTAAAGCAACATGAGATCATTCACTTTTTAAATATTCATATTGTAATAAAATATGTGTATTTGTTAAACTTAAAAAAGCATAATAAATATAAAGACCATTTATAACAAAAACCTTCTTTCCTCTAAATTTGTTTTCTCCAAAAAATTTAATATTATCTACTATTTAATTCTTTTAATTTGCAATTGTCTTAACAGCATTCTTTGTCTCTATCCATAAAGTTATTCAAATTTATCAATCTCATGATCTAATATTATTGGAGCAGTTTATGGTGTTTAATATACTGGTTTATTTCTTAATATTTCAGAATTATAGGAATACTTTTTATATATGGTCTTGTAAAACATTTTGTAATCATTTTTGATATTTTTATTTTAAAGTACTTACTTTACACTAATTCTTCTTAAATTATATCTTAAACTAAAATATTTCTTTAAATACATCCTTAACCTTAAGAAAGCCAACCATCATTTAAAAATAAAGAATTTAATGATTTATGATATTTGTTTTTTCCAATTCTTTCCTTCTCACTTTCCTTGTAAATCTATTATATTTTACGTTCCTCAATTTCTATATATTTATTTTCTCCAATTATTATACATCTCTTGTAACTTTCTTAGGAGATATTATAGATTCCATAGACCATTACTAAGGTATATTAGCTTTTATTTATATATCTTATTTCAAAGCATTATTGTTGCTAATCTAATAGCTTAATTCATCTAATATTGAATCATCTTCGAAAGATTCAGCTAAAAGATTCTCTAATAATATTTCAAAATCTTAATATAATTTTGTCATCAACTTTTTCAATAAAGATTAATGATTCCTCTTCTTAGAAACATAAATAATTAAGCATATAAATTTAATCATCTCTTTGAAATTCTCATATTTCCTCAACTTAGATAATATATAAGTTAAACCATATGTAATTTCATATTAACCAATCTCTAATGTCAGTGCATAAGTTATAAACAATTATTGTAAATTCTTCTAATCATTGCTTTCTAATATGATCTCATAAATTTAATAATTTTAGATCTTGGTATTAAAGAAACATTAGACTTTTTATGCCAAATCTAGACAATTGAAACATTTGGTTATCTTAGACATTTACTCTTAAATTTATTAATAAATATTTAATACCTTCTACACTTCCATTAATCAAATAATCTTCATTAATTAAATCATAGAACTTATTAAATTTCTATATCAATTAAGGATAATTTTATTTTAGTTCTATTAAATACAATCCCATTTGAATTATGTTCTTCCATAATTGACAATCTGTCTCAATATTCTTACACTATTCACTATGATAATAATTTTATTAATAATATACTAGAGTTAATCAATAATGCATTCATTTGAATTTCAACCAATTTCTAATTACAATCAACACCCCATTTTAATAACTTATAGATAATTTGCACCTGTAAATTCAGATTTTCACGCTTAGATAATAAATGTTGAATGCAATCTGCATCCAATTTCATATATCTAAATAATAATAATATTATATACTAAGTTTTATTCTCCCTAAATTAATAATACTTTTAAAAGTTCATTTTGAGAAGCTGCCTAACCTAAAATTAGGATAGAATTGCCTTAATGATATTTACAAAAACATAGTAAATCTTATAAAGTTTAAGCTTTTAGATTATCTTCTAAGGAAAAAGAAACAATCTTCATTATAGCATTAATAATGCCTTCATTTTTTATTTAATATCTTTCTTTAATCATTAAAGATTGATTTACACCAACTTTAATCTTATCAATCATCCAACCCATAAGTTAATTGATAGAGAAGCAAATAATTAAAATTTTTTGTTGGAACCTATTCCACTTATTAAATAGACATTGAAGATGATGAAACTTCTTTAATTTATGTTACTATAATTTAATATATACAAATACATTCTTATTGAAATTATTATTTTTATGCTTAACTGTTTTTGTTGACATTAAGGGTTATTTAGCAACGGGTTATTATTATTATTATTATTATTATTATTATTATTATTATTATTATTATTATTATTATTTTGGAGATTCAATATATGGTTCTTCAGGTTCTCTATAACCTTACATATACATATGACATGCTTTAACTAATTTATTAATTTCTTTATTGAATGCTTCATGATCACTAATATAGAATTGAATAAATACAATCCATTTTTTTTTCTTATTCTCCTCCAAAGTTATAAAGTGCATTGATTGCATCAGTATCAATTTTAATATGAAATTTCTTTTTTCCTTTTTAATCAACAGAGAATGAAAGGTGGTTTAGATTTTTCAGTTTCAGGAGCAGGTATAGATTATGCTCTAGGAGCAGGTCTTTATTTAGTATCAAAGAATCCTTAATTAAACATAGATGGAGCTTAAAGAAAACTTTCATTATCATTATTAAGGAATTAAGATTTATGTTCATCAAAATCTTCTTATTATTATGGTTGTTGTTATTGAGGTTATTCTTTTTTAATAGGTTAAGAATTAATAATGGAACTACTACTTAATTTAGCTATGGTTCAATAGTGTTTGTAATATATTCAATAGCTTAATGGGTTTATAATTTATGATTTGGAAATTGTTATTGGAAAATGAGATGAAGAAAATAAATTATCATAACTCTTATATCATAGTATGTTGTTGATCTAAATATAAAAAGTAATGAATCTATTATATTATGTTAATCCCATATTTAGAGTATATAATTAGTTTTATTCCTTGATCTTCATTGTCTACTAATAAACTCTAATAAATTAATTAAATTATTTCTTACTTTTAAAATTGTGAAAATCTGTAATAAGAGACAAAGTGATATTTTGGACATAATGTACTAATCAAAAAGTACTAAATGTTGAGAAATATCAATTTGTTAATTAAACAAATAAAAGATCTTTTCTAAAAATTTTATTTAAAATGATTCTTCATAATCATTAAAATGTTAATCACAACATTAGTTTTCACTGTATGCAAATATTAACATATCTAAAATATCTTTAGATGATATAAAATGATATAGTGTTATGGATTTTATAAATATTTAGAGAATACTTATTCACTGATACATTATTAATGTAACTTTGGATTCCATAAGATATCTTATGAATAAAAAAATGATCCAATAATCGATTGTCTCCAATAATAGTTTTTGTTTCATTTAATAATTCAACACAATTTGTATTTATTAAAGGTTTATCAAAAACTCATTGTAATAGAAGCAATAGTCAAAAAGAATTAACTATTAAAAGCTTCTGCTTATAATTAATGATTATTCTTTAAGATATAATTGATGACTTCAAACATAGTAGATAAATTAAGTTATGCTTAATTGATTTATTTATATAGAGTTCCATTTAGATGTAACATCACATAAAATAATTTAAATCCTCCAGAGAAATGAAACTTATTTTTATCTGCTATAACTGCTCCACTTTTAGATTACAGTGTAGCATTACAATTACCCATTACATCTATTATATGATTACTATCAGTAAAGTCAGGAATATAAATTGACATAATTCTCTCAAAGTATTTATCTAAACAGGCTGGTAATGTTTTTAATTATTTATAATCCATTTAGAATTATCCATATACTGATTAAATAGTTTTAATTCTACATAAATTATTATTTATTCATTTACTTTGTAGATGATTAATTCATTATTAATACACATTATGCTGTACCAAAAACATTCTCACATATTGAAAATCTGGTCAATGCTATATTCTAATTTAAACAAGGAAAATCTAATGTCATTGTCTTTGACCTCTTCTCATTATTGAAATATAATTGAAAATCATAACTATTCTTACAGTTAAATGTGAAGAAGTGAATTTCTTAGGGCATTCATGTGATATACCTATGAAATTCATTCCATTTTTTAATTGATTATCAATATTGCTCCATTATCTGGTTCCTAATATATCGCAGGAATTATTCTATAATAGACACTGCCTCTCAATATAAAACATTCTATTCCCCCTTCTCCTTATTATCCTTATTCATGAATACTTATTATTTTTTATACTCCCAAATTCTATTCATTAAATTGACATTCTCCATTTTAATCCAAATGCAAAATCCAAAACCCTCAATGAATGGCCAAGTAACCTTCTTCTCTACTTTTATTCCACTGCCCATGCTACTGAAATCGAAAATATTCTGTTATTGCTATCGAAGCGATTCCTATATTTTCGGATTTCAACTACTTTATACAATGTCAACAATGAGCCAAAGTATTCAGCTCTCAATTATTATGGTAGCTCTTTAAAGTAATGTTTCAATAATTTCCTTGACAAGTAACCTCTCTAGGCTGTTAGTTATGCTGCTCGAATCTTTTTAAATGTGATTATATATTATTACATCCTGTAAAAGGCAATCTTAAATTATCCTAAAAGTGAGTTGTACTTATTATTTAACATCCCTCCTCAAATCTTAATTGAGAAGCATTTGCTACAATATTGTACTTCTAATTAAACTCACTCACAGCTATTTTTTGGAATAAATAGGGTTTCATTCTTTAAAATAATTATACTCAAAAGTTGAAATTATTTATATTAAAACTAAAAACTCAATTAAATTTTATAATTTAAATATTAATAAATAATTCTCATTTTTATAAGATTTTTCTATGAGAATTAAATTATTCTCTATCTTAGACTTGGCTATGTCTTTCTGTAAAGAAATTGTTCGTTTGCTAGCTTAAAGGATTAATAATAAATATATTACAAATTTCTTCTTCTTAAGGTTCTTCATTTAATCCTTATAAATTGAGTTTAAAATCAAATTTTTTCTTCATAGTTTATTAAGCAAATTGTATATATTTTTAACAACTTCATCTGCTTTTTATGTAGTTGTTTATTTATTAATATGTTATGATTTAGTACCTAATTCACTAATAATTTTTTTAGAATTAGATGATTTAGCTTTGGTACTAATTAATTTTTGATTTTATTATGAATTATACTAAGATGGAATCATATATTTAAATTCAACTTTTTGTTTACTTTCACCAGTATTTAATCCTTTAATTTAATCATGAATCTTAAGCATAAGATCTTCAGAGATTAGAGGAGGTCTTTTGAAAGTTCTATCTGTTAAACAACCTCCTTTGACAATTTTATCAATTTAATGAGTTGTAATTATTTGGGCAAAGGTTAATAAACTTTTTTGAAAGCTTCTTGTTTAGTTGAGATACTACTCTGCATACTTCCATTATTATTAGGATCTTATCTAATACTTTTTTATTAACCTTAAAATCCTTAAACAGAAGTACTCATGGGCAATAAATCTGATGAGACCGCATTCTTGTTAATTTAGGTTTAATATCAAAATCATTAAATTATTCAACTGCATTTCCTAATTCTAAAGGTTCTTCTTTTATTTATTTAATATTTGATGATATTTTTGATTCACTTTTAGAATTATTTCCTATAATAGATTTCAATTATACCTTTCTTATTATTACTATCAGGTTATTTACGTTTGATACTTTTTGAATAAGTAGATTATTTTTTATGTTTTGTATATCATTAATTAACTTGTATAATGCAATCTTTTAGAGTAAGATCAGATTATTCAGATTGATTCAATTATTATAGATTTGTAATAATTTATAATCCTTTTAAATCAAAACCTTATTTAGTATATTCTTAAGTTCCTTCTTCATAAATATCATGTTCTTAAGTTTCAAAAACTTATATTATCTGTCAATTTTGAATTCAACACTTATCTATTAATAACTTTTTATTAAGTCTATTCACGATCTTAGTTGTCTTAATTATTATATTTAATAAATAATTATTAATATTAATTATTATAATAGAAGATAATAAATATCTTTAAGAATAAAATAATTTATCATATCTCTTATTTCTCTTATTCATAATTTTATGAGCATCTGTTGCACTTAAGTTTGGATGCATATGTTTATAATTCTAAATGTAAAACTCTATAAGTATATCTATACGTGGCTTAACTTCTTCTTAGTTAGAATCTTTTAATATAACATTACCAACACCATATACCTGTTCAATATTCCATCTTCTCATCTAACATTACATAATCCTTAAAATATATTACATGAGAAATCTATGCAATTTTTTATTTATTGGTTTTTCAAAGTAGAAATTAAATGCTTCAAAGTATTTCTCTTATAAATATTCTTTCATCTTTCTTCTTGCACCCATTTAGCATAAATCACATCTCTTCATTTTATTAAATAATTCATATAAAATCAAGAACCTCTCAATTAATTTTTTTAATAAACAGATACATTATTTTATATATCATTTCTGTAACAATTATATCTCCAATTTTCTATTATCCTATGCAATTACACGAATCTAATATTATATTATTTATTATATACTCTATCCTCTAAATCCTTAATTTCTTCATCACAATCTATCTCTTTCAATAGTTCTCTTAATTTTATATTCTCTTCTTCTAAATTTTTTATCTATTTTAGTATTTATTTATATTGAATACATTTTCAATCACTTTCTCTTTATTTTCATTAGGTTTCTCTCTTTTACTTACTTTCTCATCATAAATTGCTGTATCATATTTAAATCTATATTAAACTTCTTCATGTTTTAACTTCTAATATGCAATCTACTATTATTGCAATTCTAACTACATTTATTCCACATTCTAATCTAATTTCATTTCTTCTTGAATCTATTAAATCAATTTCTCATTCTCTATTATTAAACCAGTAATCTTATCCTCTAAATCTATTACCAAATTTTCTATCTTATTTTCTTAATTCATTTATTCTAACTCCTCTAATTTCTTACAATCAAACTATTCAAATTATTTTAAAAAATTCTCATATTGAATCTCTAAATCTTATAAGTTTTTACATTATAAATCCCTCTCTTACCTAAGTTATTCAACATTAATTATTTTTTATAATTTTTGATTATCTTAATTTAAATTTTCATTTAATTTTTAAAGCATTATAATTTTGTTTTCTAATTCTTTAATGAATTATGTGCTATTACCTCTCTATTTATTAGACTCTAATTAAAATATTTATTATTATAAATTATATATTTATATATATATAAACAAAATTATTAGTAGCATATCAACCAAATGATTGATTTAATGCTTCTTTTTTTTTTGTGAATTCATAAACTTGTAATTCTAATTATTAAATTCTTGAGATTAATTATTTTTTTTCTTCTTGAAATAATTTTTTTTCTTCTTCATATAGTTTGAAACGTTCAAGTCCTTTTTGTTATATTTACTATAATTAAACTTTGAATTGATTGGAAGGACAAAAATCAGATGTTTAACTTGAAATGGATTAACAAAGTAAGAATTCTTTATGCTCAGTATTTTATGGTGATTTACTAGGAATTAAGAAGAGTTTAGAATTATTTAAGTCTATTATCTTGATTATTAAATTTAACACAAGGATTGCTTTATTATTCTCGACATTAAATTTTATTATCTGCTCTCTTAATATTCTATGGAGATAAACAATGATAAATAGATCCTTATTTAGACTATGTTTACATATTATAAAATATTAATTATCATTTATATATATGTATTAACTAATTTAATATTTCTATATAATAATATCAATCATAGAATTCCATCATTTTTAATGATACTAAAGCAGTTTCTCTGACAATCTAATATGGACTCTTTGAATATTAATTTAAAATTTAAAGAGTAATTTCTTTATTTGAATTAACTGTTTGAAAAGCAGCAATTGCTTAATGACGAGCTATTGCTGGTTAATTTTCATCTTTTATCATATTAATTAATGCTTCATGAATTTATTTTGGAGTTTCTCCAACTTAACCAATTACAAAACAAATCTAAAATAATAATTAAATTAATACTTCATGTTTAAATAATGCTCCAAGTTTATTACTTATTAATAATTAATCTATTTAATCAAAATTTTTATTAGCATTATTTCTAAAATGCTCTATATTTATTAAATAAGGTTGTATTATCATCTATATATATTCTAAAGGATTTTTATCTAATTCTAAAAAAGGAGCAGCTGGTTCTCTTGTTCCTAAATACTTTTTTCCATATAAAGATCCAAGTTCTTTAATTGTTTTTGCCTTCTCTAAACAAATTATACATGTATCTTATAAGATAATAAGATTATCATTAATATTTTTTTTAGAATACTATTCAAATATCTCTAAAGCCTCTTTTTAATTAATATTTGCTAATGCTTCAGCTGCTTCATGTCTTACTAGATCATCAATACGAAATTAAGTAATTTAAGATTCTAAACTTAAATCTTCTTATCCTAATGCATAAGCCATCTCATGTAACAATAAACATGATTTATTTTCTATCTTATTTAAATAATCAAATCCCTATTTCAATAATTATATTGCCTCCACATTGTTTATTAATCTTAATTCAAAAATTGAACTATATATCTAATCAACTGTAGAAATTCCATTGATAATGATTTTATAAAATTATTGTAGGATTTTTACATTATTTTAGAAAAATTATTATCAATAATTATATCTTCTTAAATTCAATAAACTTCTTTATTTTTTATCTGTAAGTTCATCTTTAAAGATCTCAATAATGTTATTCTTTATTAAAATTACTATTCTTTAATTCTAATCACTCTCTCTAACTCTTATCCAATCTAATTATATAATATTTATATATTTTTACATCTTCTCTCTAATTTCTTGTAGATTCACTTAATTATTATTATTATTCTACATTTCTACTTAACATATCAGCTTCTATTAAAGATTCTTGCCTTCTTAATACTATCTAAATCCAATCTCAATTTTGATATTGTTCTATTTAATTATTAATTTTAAGTAATTAATTATTAATTTGTCTATGATAACTCATTAATTGTTGAATTATTATACAATTATTAACCATTAGTCTATTATTAACTAATATAATTCAAAGCCTCCTAATATTATCTTCTTTTATGTTTTAATTCTTTATTTTTTTAAACCAATTCTTCCTGAATCGTATTTATTTTTTATATATTNATATTAATAAATATATGTACAATTATGATTATCTCTGATAATTTAATCTATACTAAAATCTTGACTGTAATTATCTTCTTTGTTTTGCAATTTGAAAATATAATTTTAATGAATTTATTTAAGAATCTACTTAATTTAAACAATCATAAAACAAATCTAAAATATTTCTCAAAAGCACCATCTGGTTTTCTTTTTGTGATAAAATATCAGTTCTTTGATTCTCTTAGCTTTCTCAATCATATACAAGTATCTTTTATAATATTCAATTTATTATTAATATTCTTCTTTAGAATACTTTGAATAAATAACACTCTTCAATAATGGTAGCAATTATCAAATGGTTTTTAATAATATGAATAATTGATAAAAGGTTCTAAAATTAAATCTTTTTATTCTGAATATATAAATAAACTCATAATTTCTTTTTAGTTTATTTAAATAATCAAAATCACAATTTTATATATTTAACTTTATATCTATCTAATCAATCGATTGATGATGATTTAATAAAATTATTGTTTTGATTTTTACATTATTTTATAAAAATTAATATCAATAATTATATCTTCTCAAATTTAATAAACTTCTCTATTTTGTATCTGTAAGTTCATCTTTTAGAGATCTTAACAATGTAATTCTTTATTAAAATTATTACTCTTCAATTCTAATAACTCTCTCTAATTCTTATGAAATCTAATAATAATATTTATTAATTGTTACATCTTCTCTTTGATTTTTTGTAGATTCACACAACAATTATTATTATTCTAAATTTCTACTTAACATATCAGCTTCAATTAATGCTTCTTAATGAGCTTTCTTTACATCATCTAAATCTCCTTTTAATTTTGATATTGTTCTATTTAATTATTAATTTTAAGTAATTAATTATTAATTTGTCTATGATAACTCATTAATTGTTGAATTATTATACAATTATTAACCATTAGTCTATTATTAACTAATATAATTCAAAGCCTCCTAATATTATCTTCTTTTATGTTTTAATTCTTTATTTTTTTAAACCAATTCTTCCTGAATCGTATTTATTTTTTATATATTTTTATACTTTATGTAAATTAACTTTTTGTTTTATCAGTTTGTTTGCTCAATGAATAGAAATCTTTTGTTATATTATCGTACTCCTATTTTATTCTAAATTCAAACATAACTTATACTATATTATTGTTTATTTTAACCCCTTCACTTCTTCTCCTAACAATATTTTCTCACTATTCAATTTACTTATTACAACACTTTCCCCTTCCACATTCTCCCCTTCCTATTCTTAATATTATTCATTCGCATCAAATTCATCCTTAATTCATTTAATAATATATATTATTATATACTTTTTATATTTCACTTTTTATTTTATTTCATTTCATTTATTTTTTATACAAATTTTCATATTTTTAATATTGTTGTCACCCTATTCCTTATTTTTCCCCAACTAAATTATTTATACATAAGTTTTTATAGCTATAATTTTTAATTTATTATCTATTATTATTTAATTTTGCTGCGTAGAATTGATTAATTTAATATAAATGCATTTTTGATAAATAACTCTAGAATGATTTCAATTAGGAAATATGAAGATTTCCTATTAAAATACCTTAATGAAATATTTTAATAATAATTTCTTCTCAAAAACAATCTAACTCTAAATTGAAGGTAGATTTATAGTTTTAGATAAATGTCTAAAAATAAATTCTTTAAAAGTAGGTAATATTTTTATGAATTATAAAAATTAAATTCACAAATTATTTTCATTTTATTCTTATTGAAAACCTCTCTATAATTATAATTTATAATATACTGGTTTAAATATAGTATAAATTTGATTTTGTTTCTTTATGATAATAATTATTAATAATCTATTGAATAAGTAATTAAATATAAAAATTCTGAATCTTAGATTTTATTCTAAAACTAGATATAATCTAAATATTTGAAATTTGATAACCAAAAATTATTGATGGTTCCTCTGACAGAAGAACATTGAGGTCTAGATGAAAGTTAAAAATCAAATTAAGGTTACAATATAAAATAATTAGATGGATCGATCGAGATCAAATATAATCTGACCAATATCAAGTATCAGAATAATCGATTTTTTCTTCAAACTTGAATATACCTGTCTGATAAACTATTTTAATTAATTAAATGATTGCAAAAGATAACTTCGATCAAGATCATAAGTTTAAACAAGATAATTTTCATGAGTATTTGCATTCATGTTTATTTCATTTTATTCAAATATTTTTTTTTGTTAATTGTAATATTTAAAGCCTCATCAATAACTTAATTTATAATTTTTTCTTTTTTAGAATTTATTTTACTTTTGGGTATTAAATCCTTATATGGATTAGCATCCTAAAACATAAAAAATCAATTTTAATAAAATATTTTAATAAACGATACAATTTACATTGAAAATATTTGCCTATCTTGATATATAAGTTTATATTTAAAAATTCTTTTTTAATTTAAGTTATTTGATTTACTAAATGAAAATAATTTAGTGAGTATTTATTAACAAATCTATATTGACATT